TTAAACCCTAGTGCTTTAACTACTTTTAAAGGATTTTAAAGAAATACTTAAGTTTCTCCATTTTTATTTTCCCCAGTGTTCTTAGATGTGTTTTTCCTTTGTGATGTCAATTTTTACAGGTGCGTAAATAGGCTGGTCTCTTCATACGAGGGCGAAATTATTTTTTTCCCCATGCGTTTCTGAAAAAATGCCTAAGATGTAGCCATTGCTTTGCAGTGTTCCAACAGGAAGTGAAACGGGCATACTGGAATGGAAAGTTTGGAGACTTTGTTTGGCACCGGATTTAAATTCTTTGGTGATTTGTCTCCAGTTGATTCATAAACTTACATGTGGTCTCTGGAATCTTCTCCACTTCCTATGTCTAAGACCTTGGCCTGAACTGGGCTTTCCAGACTGCAGGGAAGAGAGAAGTCGTGAACCTGAAACGGGCGTTTTTTGGAAAATGGTTTAGCGAAACCATTTCCAGTTGCCATTTTACAATTTAAAGTTCTAAAACTAATAAGTGATGACCTGTCCTGCCTTTGCTCTTTGGAGCATTAGAGCAGTATATTGTAGTTAAGACTTTAGCTGAAGTGTTTCTTAATGGTGAGAATAAGTGAAATATTGTACGTTTAAAGCACGTGCAGGTGATCCAGCTATACAATAATAACTCCTTACACTTACATTGTGCTTTATTGGACACTACCAGTGTGCAGCCCCACCTGGATGATGTGACGGCAGCCAAAGTGCACCAGTACACTCCCCACACATCAGCTATTTTGTGGGGAAGAGAACAGAGTGATGAAGCCAGTTCAGAGGTGGGGATTATTAGGAGGCCATGGTAGGTAAGGGCCAATGGGAAATTTGGCCAGGACACTGGGGTAACGCCCCTACTCTTTTCGAGGAACGAGCTGGGATTTTTAATGAACACAGTCAAGTTTTACATCTCATCTGAAGGATGCTGCCTTTTTACAGTATAGTGTCATCGTCACTAATGGGGGACCCACGCAGACTGCAGAGTGGGCGCGCCCTACTGGTCCCACTGACACCTCTTCCAGCACCAACCTTC